TTGATATTGTACAGTGGTTACCGAGCTTATTACTGAACTGTTAATTATATTATACTACAAGAAAAGCATGATGAGACTGGAAATTATTTATTGTTTCTGAAAGGGCATTTTGATGTTATTTTCTGTTTGAGATACTAGCATGTTTTTCTGACTTGTCCCCAATAAAAACGGTTGTGGTTAAGTGTTATTACTCACTGAGCTAGCGACTCATTCCCTGCTAATTTTTTTAACAGAGACATCAGTTGTCGCGGACGAGGATTTCGTTAATTAGAGCGCACATGTTGATAGTTCTTGGAGAACCTCGCACTTGTTCGCGTGGGTGGAGATTTTATTTATTGTTATGGTCTTTTCTTTGAGCTCTTAGAGTCGCTCCATAGTCAATATTTTAGTATCATGAGTATTGTTTTGTTATTATAGTCTTATGTTGAGTATCATTCTTTATTATCAAAGTTGGAGATAAATTAGTAATGCTGGTTGTTAGTGGGTTGATTAGTAATGGTGGAGACTTGTTTTGGTTAATTGATAAGTTGTCAATTGTTTGGTATGATATTAGGATGTTTGGTTGTTGATTTGAGACAGGGAAATTTTTTGGGATAGTCCAAAAACAGGGGAAACTCTATCCATTTTTTATAAAATACCGATGAGGCTTACTTGGGAGCACTTGCTCCTAAGCGCCGGTCACGATCCTAAATTGGGTCGTGACACTTCTCTCTTTTCATGTCGAACCCCAAGGTTAGAAAACATCGTGTCATCCGCGCTAGACCATGCAACTACTCCTGGTATAGCTCCATTGGGATTGTGCGTTGACTTCAAACGGGTAGTTTTTTTCTCCTTCCTTGCTGGAGCAGGTTTATATATCAAGTCTATCTTGTACCAAAATTCAATCCACTTGCTAAATGAGACCTTTAGATCATGAGTCTTCCCTTCTTGAAGATGGTTAAAAGCGATAAACAGGTATCCACAAGCTCGAGGAGTAAAACTTTCATTCTTCTCATTAACACCCGTGAGTTCGATAGTTTCAGGCACAACTTCTTCGTAGGGAGAACCTCCAATAGGTAAACCGCCAATGGTATGTAAATCCCAAATAGATATTGATAGTTCTCCGACTGATGTAAGTAAGGTATTTGTTGTGGGACACCAAGCTTCAAGAAACGCTCACAAGATGTTGGAATTTCGGTCATATGTAAATAAAGAAGCATAGACGACATCATAAATTCTTGTTGTCTCCAAAGACCGTTGACTTATACCAAGTATGTCCTCACCCCATTCCCAATATCCCAAGATATGATGATATTCACCGTCAATTCTCAAAGTATCTCCCTTTGAATTATACGTCGTCCTAGGCAAGGAAGGGTACTCGCGATATTGAGTTTTTGCTGGTAAGGAGTCTAAAGGGACCACATTTTGGTTGGCTTTTGGTTGTGCTTTGAAGTCCAATCTACCATATGGAGGGAATTCTGCAAAGGTGGCCAAGGACCTACATATCGACCAACTAGTGGAGGATAAGTCAACAGCTTGGTTATAGCCCCTCCATTATTGGCGTCAATTATGAGATACTTACGTTTGGAGGATGGAGATGTATAGTCTCTGAAGTGAACCATCATTTCAAAACTGCATAAGAAAAAAATGGGGAGATTAGTAAATATTAAGCAAACAACAATTGACAAAAGGAGAAGATTATAGTCCTTTGTGCTTTAGGCAAGTTTCTATATGCGATTAAGATTTTTCTTTCTCCTATATGTCGCCGTGGGGTTTAATCTTCTATATGTTGGTATGAATTTATCCGTCTATATATTGGTATGGATTTGTCTGTCTATATGGCGATGAGGATTTGTCCGTCTATATATTGGTATGGATTTGTCTGTCTATATGGCGATGAGGATTTGTCCGTCTATATGTTGATAAGGATTTGTCCGTTTATAAGGTGATGTGGATGTGTCTGTCTATATATTGATGTGTATTTGTCCGTCTATATATTGAGGTAGATTTATCCGTCTATATGATGATGTGGATTTGTCCGTCTATATGTTGATGTGGATTTGTCCGTCTATATATTGAGGTGGATGTGTCTGTCTATATGTTGATGTGGATTTGTCTGTCTATGTATTGAGGGGGATTTGTCCGTCTATATGTTGATGTGGATTTGTCCGTCTATATATTGAGGTGGATGTGTCTGTCTATATGTTGATGTGGATTTGTCTGTCTATGTATTGAGGGGGATTTGTCCGTCTATATGTTGATGTGGATTTGTCCGTCTATATATTGAGGTGGATGTGTCTGTCTATATGTTGATGTGGATTTGTCTGTCTATGTATTGAGGGGGATTTGTCCGTCTATATGTTGATGTGGATTTGTCCGTCTATATATTGAGGTGGATGTGTCTGTCTATATGTTGATGTGGATTTGTCTGTCTATGTATTGAGGGGGATTTGTCCGTCTATATGTTGATGTGGATTTGTCCGTCTATATATTGAGGTGGATGTGTCTGTCTATATGTTGATGTGGATTTGTCTGTCTATGTATTGAGGGGGATTTGTCCGTCTATATGTTGATGTGGATTTGTCCGTCTATATTGAGGTAGATATGTCCATCTGTATGTTGATGTTGATGTGTCCGTCTATATGGTGTTGCAAGATCCGTCCATCTATAAATTGTTGTGAATTTAACCGTTTATAAATTGTTGCAGATTTATTCTTCGATATGACGTCATGGAGTTGCTCGTCAACTTAGCACTCGACAACTTTTCTTGTTTGACCTAGAAAAGAGAGAGAAAAGAACAAGCAAAGAAAACGCAGAAGTAAAGAAGTAAAATAATTTACCTTCTTGTGACGATTCACTTGGACAGGCTTGCAAGCTGCGACTGATGCCAATTGAAGGGAAGGCATGTCCCTATTTATAGATTTTCCAAAGATGCCAGTTGATGGGTTAATTGCAATGTGGGAGTAGAGATTTTCAGAGTCCAACATGGACTTGTTCTCCTAATTCAATTCTAATGAAGAAAACTACAAGCAGAAGAATTCTAACCAATTTGGACACTTGCGAATTTTGACAAAACCGTATAAGGCCAAAAGTAGTAAGGGGCCAAGTCTCAGAAGTCCATCTAATTAGGAAGGCAAGAAGTAAATTATAGTTTTGATTCTTTCAGTAATATCTCGCGTGAATTTCAATTAGAACCTCAAAGTTATAGTTTGGATTCTTTTCAATTAATCTTTTTACGCTGAAGATAAATTGGATGTTTTCAAAAATGGGTAAAATAAATAAAGACATTTGTTACCTAAATACTTCAACTTAGTCTTCAAAAGTTTAAAGTTCTTGACGAGTCTTGAAGTAGCGGACATTTGTAGGCATATAAATTTTATTGGAATTAAATACGTAAAATAATTGGGACTACATTTTAAAATTCAAGATATATCAGTTCAAATAAATTTATTTGGATTAATTATAAGCCTAATATATATGGATTAAATAAATAAGCTTTAATCCATTGGGCTAGTCCATTTAATTGGGCTAAAGTGATGAGCCCACTTCATTAAGCCCAAGATGTCATATTCCTAGAGGCCTAGTTTGGTGCCACGTGTCAAATGACATGGCGCACCAAGTCAAACAGAAGAGCCAATAGGATCACGCCACGTGTCAAAATGACAAGGCATGCCAAGTCACATTAATCTCGCCACGTGTGCAAGTGACATGTTCTGGCCAATTAAATGCGGTCATGTCACACTTCAATGTGATTGGTCGGAAAGAGTTTGTTCTTATCATAACTCTTCATTTCCACAACTATAAATAGGGGGTCTTCATAACTCAGAAAGGGATCAGAAGTTATAACAAGAAGCAAGAGAGAGCTCGTGGATCAAACACCGCAAATTCCTTCACAAGTTTCAAGCTTCAAGCAATCAAGTTCAAGTTCAACAAATCAAGTTCAAGTTCAAGAACGAAGAACAAATCAAGTTCAAGCTCAAGAACGAAGAACAAATCAAGGTTCAAGGAGTGCGAGTTCAAATCAAAGTTCGTTCTAGTTGAATTCAAGATCATCGTTCGTAGCAACAAATATAGATTCAAGATTAAGCTCAAATACCCTTGAATTTATTTACAATTGGAAAGAAGAATCAGAGGATCCATAGAGATTGTAACACTCAAATATTCGAAATAAAATACTACGATTATTACGATATTTTTTATCTTAATTTTATTTTCTCGACACAAATTTATTGTTTACAGGACGGTCTAGGGTTACCTCAGCCCAAAAGTCACCTCATAATAACGACGGCCCATATGCAACATGTTATCGGTGAAAAAGAAAATAAAACTGAGATGACAAGGCATCTATTGGCTCTCCAGATGCATCTCTTACTGTTGATCGTTTTTGTTTATTGGGTGTTCTTCAATTACTGAAAAGAAACGGGACCAAATTTAGATCCTAAACGTGCCATGTGCTGCAACCTTTTTCTTTTATTTTAGTGCACAGTTTACACTACGAGGATATTTGTCTAAGTTTATAAGCTGGTAAAACAACTTATAAATATTTTTTGGCTTATTTATGTATTTGGTAAACACTCAAAGTGCTTATAAGCTAAAATAAGCCATAAGTCATAAGTTGGTCACCCCAACTTATAGCTTTTTAGCTTATAAGCACTTTTAATTTGATCAAGGCTTTTACTAATTTATCCTTAATAATATTTTCTACTTCACAAAATATTTTTCCCAAAATAAATTTTCTAATTTTCTTTTCACTCCATATTAGTTGTTCATCTTTTTCTTTACAAAAAAACTTTTTAATTTATAATCATTTGTAAAGTTTTTAAGGATATTTTAGTCATTTTAATAAAATAACAATTTGTCAACATTTTTTTTATCAAACACATCAACTACTTATTATCAGTTTCAGCACGTCTATTCAAACACGTAAATGCTTATTTAAAAAATCAGGTTCAGCACTTAAACATACTTTTCAACATTTCAATTTTATCAGCTATTTACAATCAGCTAATCCAAACGGGCTCTACATGTGCAGCTTTGCCTTTTAATTCAACTCGGATAAACCCCTAATATTCAAAAGAAGTAAAAGCTACATCCCCTGTCACTACATCATCATCCATCCTTTTCCTTTGCCTTTGCTTTTTTCTCTTTATTTTTTTGGTTGACTAATCGAAACTACAAGGGAATGAATTTTAGTGCATCATGGCGGTAAGGTTACTCTGCCACTTACAATACTCTTGTCATGTATTTATATTGTATGTTCTCTTTGTTTATTCACTACCTACAATCAAAATTGTTTCTTGAAAATACAATCAGTTATCCAAATTCCACCAATTATTCTTGTCATCCCCACATGCATTCAACTTACTTTCTAAACCTTATTTGTCTTTTTCTAGTAATTGTAGAGTTATTTACAGAAGAATTACTACTATTTAACTAGTGTGGGCTGGGAAGAAAAGTGGTGAAGAATCTCTGTATAATTTGGCATCAGAAACTCTAACTTTACTCATCTTGTCTTCGCACCAATGCAATTGCTCATCATTCAGTTCACTCATTCTCAATACCCTTGACACTACTTTTAAGTCTATTAATCCCATCAATATCTCCATCTCTTCCTCTTCTTTTAATTTTCTTTTTCCCAAACTGCATTTTCCTGACCGGCGTAGATCTTTCACCCTTGACTTTTTCTGCACATCAAAATTATTTTAATTTTGCAATTTGTTTTAACAAAAGGGAACAGATAATTAATATAGACATATTATATATATATACACACACTTGCCTTTTTGTTTACTTTCTTGAGCAAGAGGAGAAGAGTTGGGTCAGCAGAACCTCTTTTGTTTTTCCTAAACAAAGCTGCCACCAATACTTGGCAACGATTCTTCTTGTCCGCCTTAAGGAAATTCATAAATGTTCTGATTGCTTCTTCCATTATACGAAGAAATGAATTTGAAGATATTCTTGAGCAAAAATTTTCCTGTCCTTTTTCCTCATCCGAATCTACTCAAAATAAATAGAATGAAATGCGTTAATTTTTAGATTAGTTTGAAACAGGGAAATGCATAAGTAACCCCAATCTATATCCGGATTTTCAACTACACACTTTATCTTTGCAGGAATCCTATTATCCCGTAACTTTTTTTAAATGGAATAAATATCATCCTAAAACTAGATAATCAAACTCTTATCAAGTGGTGAACTACACGCTCTGTCACATGTATATTTAGTATTTTTTTTTAATTCTTTCTTCTTTTTCTTATCCTTTTTTCCAATTTCTTATTATTTCATTCCCTTTCTTTTTGTTTTGGTCACCGGCGTCATAAAATGGTGGTCGTCGGAATTTCAAGGACACCATTTTTTTCAGCGAAATATTTTTATCCCAATTTGGGTGTGTTTTGCTTTATATATATATATATATATATATATATAGAAAGTGTAAATTATGCGTGGGAGGAAGAACAAAAGAAAGAAAAATGAATATAAGCTGAGAAGACCTTTTTCAGTNCTTTTTGAGAGTTTAATTTGTGTGTGAAAAGGATAGAAAGAGGAAAAAGAAAAACAGAATAAATGGAAGAAAAACAGTTAGACAAAGTTGCCGGTGAATGAATATCAGCCGGAATTAGATAAGAAATGAAAAAGGAAGTAAAAGAAAAAGAAAAAGGAAATGGAAAAGGAAAAGGAAAAAAAGTAAGAAAAAATGGTAAAAAAGCAAAAAGAAAAATCTGAAAAACTCTCCCAAAGAGAGTGAAATACACACACTCTGTCACGTTAGCTTTAAGGGTGCAAATAATTCTACTTTAAAATAGTTTATGAGGGTAATAAAAATCTCGCAAAGGTAGAGTGCGTAATGAGAATCCAGGTATAAGTCAGGGGGTCTTATGCATTTTCCTAAAAACATTGTATCTATTGGAACAATTTTGTCTTTGGAGACGGAAACCAAAAAAAAATAAAATTAATTATAAACACTAATAGTGTAAAAAAGATTCACTATTATTATACTTGTATGTGTTATAACAAGTCATTTACATGCTTGTAGGTTACTTATTCATGCATGTTATTAATTACTTGTAAAAGACTTTTGAGTGAAGTATTAGTACTGCAAAAATTCTTTACACTGTCAAAATTTAAACCCAAAAGAAAAAGGGGTTACCTCGATATTCAGGGACTTGAAGCAACTTAGGAGCTAAGCTTCTCATCCTAGCATAAATCTCAGGTCTTTTACCATGTTCATACGGCTCATTCTCAACATATCTTTGTAAAAGCACTTGAAATTGTTGAAATTGCTGAGCTATATATGCAGGACAACCTGGGTCCTCTTCTTCACGAGAAGCTCTTAGGCTTTTGAAGTATTTATAATTCCAGCTCAGTGCTTCCCATGCTAAGCATACCTATATATAATACAGAGGCGTATTCAGATTTTAAATTTGATAGGTTTAATATGTATGCTCTCAACGCCAAATCCATTGCACTTTTTCATTTATGGGTTAATAACTTGGTTTTATTGAAATTTAGTGATTTTTCATAGTACATATTTATGTTCTGTGTTAAAAGTTGTGTTCAGTTGAACCTGTTGGGACTACAATGCATCCGCCTCTGCATACGTACGTACCTGTGCTACATAAGCAGCCTCCAATTCATGATACGGGTTTTGACGAAAATCCGATGATTTCCTGTTCTTTGTTGCCAATTTATAGACAATCCTGTCTGATATTGATCTGGGACATGATTGAATGGATCTAAGTGATTCTGAAATTGAGTTATTAGCTTCATTAGTCTAAAATAAGAAAACAGATGGAAAAATTCAGATAATAATTGGAAATTGGGAGCTTTTTTTCAAATATTTGTTTATTGATTTTAAAAAATAGCTGTAGAACAGTTTTTGAAGTTTTCTACTCATAAAACTTCAAATTCTTTTAAAATGCATGTCCAAATACATTTCAACGTTCAAAAACTATTTTTCATTTCATCTTCAAAAACTTATTTTTTTCAAGTTTCAACTAAATCTATGTCTAAACGCTAGCTAAATCTAAGCAAAAGCAAGCTTAAGCGGAAAATTTTATTTTGTGTCTCATACAACTGACACTAGTTGTATGAGGCAACTTTTTTGTCTCGCAATTTTGTGGACCCAGAAATGTAAGATTGTGGTCTACAAATTTGTGAGACAAAAAGGAGTCTCATGAGTTGTATGAGATACAAAATAAAACTTCTCGGCTTAAGCCTTGTTGGTCAGAGATACTGGATATTTGTGCCGATATAAATAGTAAGTGTCATATAAAATAGTCGAGGTATATGTATGGCCCGACATTACTGTTATTAAAAAAATAAGAAGGATAAAGCAGGGAAAGTTTAATATTAGTACCTGTTTCATGGAGTTTTTGTGTGCTGATTCTATCTAAAAATAGCATTTCTTCATCATATTTTTGGAAGATAGTGTAAGACTCCCATTTGGGGCAACTTCTCCTTGAAGAGGAAGAAAATGGATCTTCAGAGTCTTTAATGGAGTTTCTATATTCAGAGGAGCTCTTAGAAGTGGAGTCAACAGTATAAGAATCCCCATATATTTCATCAATATCCTCGTTTTTTTGGAATTGGAATATTTTCTTGCTCTCTAACTTGGATGGTGCATAAACCAAGAAATTTTCCTCTCGACAGAGTAATTTATTACTCTTCTTAACTTTCTTGTGTTTCTTCATTTCCCTATAACACTTTCCTGCATCACATAAGCAAGAAATTAAAGCTTTTTTTTTTACCAGAAAATCTGCAGCCGCAAGTCACATAGGAGATAAAAACCGCACTAGGCAAGCCCGATGCGAAGGTTGTCGGCAAGGGAAATCGATCTCAAGTCTCTCATGTGAAAAAACACTCACCTAACCAACTTAGCGAGAGGGCAATTAAGGCTTTGAATGCCAAGAAATTAACACATCTTGTTGTTTTATATGATGAACAAATTAAACATTATAAGTACCATGATTAATGCCGTTTGTTTGAGAATCACAATTATAAGAATCCGAATTGAGAATCTCCTCTTCATCATGATCACTGTGAACAGATTTTGAAGCTGGTGAACCATAAACCGAGTCTCCTTCGTCAGTGCCACAACTTTGTTTTGGACTCTGTTTCGCATAGCTAAATATCTGATTTTCTTGAGCATTTCCATTAGGCATGAACACCAATGTTTCACTTTCCCTGAATGTTTCTGTTACAAAATGATTTTCCTGCCCTGTTTCAGCATCATTATGATAATATTCATTTTCTTCGTCCGAAAACTCAGCAAATTCATATCCATTTTCTCGATTCCTGCAAAAATCCACAATATGTTTGTCAACATATATGAAAATTGAAAAATTCAAATTAAATGAAAAGGAGGGGGGAATTTGAAGTAGTAGTAAATATTTACCTCCAGAAAAATGGATTTCCACCAAGAAAATAAAAAAGCTTGGCAAGTAAAATGGAAGTGAAGTAAGAGAAGATGAGGAAGAGTTGAAAGGAACTGGAGACATTGTAAAAAAACTTTGCAATAATTTCTTCATCAGGACATTGCATTGTTTTCAGGAGGAGAAGCGGCAAAGTTTTTTGAGTTTATTAGCGATGTCTCTTCTTTACTTAGGTAATTAAAGCAAAACAAAGTAGCACTAAATTTAAAAAGCTAAAGTCCATCCTTTAATTGCTTTCCCATATTTCCTTGTTTGTCAAGATGCTCCTTTGCCTTTTTTTCCTGTAGAGATCTACTTATATATTCCTTGCGCTTGAATATTTTTTTACCATACTTTAAGCAACGTAGTATCATTTTTTTTGGGTGGG